TTTTTTTTTTTCATTTTTAAGGAAGTGGCTGTAACTAAGTTTGGAGATCAATCTCACTGAGAGGCACCTTAGAAGAAATCTCTTTGGCTTCCCCCCTGAACACCAGTTGTTGAAAACCCTGTGGGTACAGTTTTACTCTGATATACTTGGGGTTGGCACGACTAGGAGTTAACTTGACTAAAAATGCTTTTTGGTTTTTAGTTAATCCACACGTAACAAGCACTGTCACATTTGCCATTGTCATTACCTAGACCAAATCTTGAGATGTCGAAGCCCATGTTCTGGTCAACACTGATTCAGAAGCCAAGAGTAAGCGAAATGAAATCAGAAACATGCTTGACCCACGCTTGTGCCATGTGACTGATGCACTATTCCCCTGCATTGAGCTGAACTTTTATAATGAGTTCACTCTTACTTTTCCACACAAATCCTTTCCAAAAGTCTGAGATAAATGAAAAGGAGATTTTTCCCTGAGAAAGATGAGATTTGACTGTCTACTACAACAGGCTAATTGAGTAGAGATAAGGGTTGACTCCTTTAAATTTGCTTTATTCAGATACACTCGATGGGAAAGAAATGATGATACTTAAAAAAAAAAGTTTCTGCCATCTCAAATCAAGGCTGACCCTTCAAGAAGAGTGTGGTTAAAGGGGAGGTTAGGGGAAGGGATCTGTGAGCAGAGCCTGGGATCTGAGAGACTGTCTGCTCCATCACCTCCCTTCTCCCAATGGCTGTCAGACCTCCTGTACTTTAGTTTTTAGGAGTTTATCAAGCAGAATTTATCAAACCAATGAAGGGTCCCTGTGAGTTAGAATCCATTTGATGTCAGTAGGTTTACATGGGATGTAAAGAGAAGTCCTGGTGGGCAATTCCTCCCGTGTAATTCATCATAGTCCTGGAAACCTGCTGGAGGGTCATCTGTGAGTCAGTTCAATTGGAGGGTGATAAGTTTGAATTTTGGGTTTTGATACACTATTAAGGAAAACCAGCTATTTAAAAAGATATATTTTTAAATTTAAGACTGATCCTTGGAGAAGAATATCATACTTAAGAGGGTGGAGGGACGGCAGGAGAGGAAGGCCCCTGATGAGATGGATTGATACAATAGCTAGGGCAATGGGGGTTGGTGTGTCAGAATCAGCGAGACAGGCTCAGGACAGGGCAGGCTTCAGAACTGTTGTACAGAGGGTTGCTATGAGTCGCAGGCAACTCAATGGTCCATAACAACACAACAACACTGTATTTAAGATCTCTCATTGCTAAATTGTGCTATGTTTCAGAGAAAGCTCAAAGGAGTAAATATTAGCGAAGCTTACCTTAGTTTAGCATCATTTCCCACCCCTGAGGGAGCATAGCAGTCTACCTCTAAACCAAGCCTCTCCTTGTTACCATGATGCTGCACCTGCCGTCGAGGTTGAGAACCCGAGTACCCGACAGTGACCTCCGATGTGCTAATTACTCATCTGCTTTCTTTTCTATTTGAAGGAACTTTTGAAAGTCTAAATTAAGAAAATAATAAAAATGTTGGCCTAGAAAGGCAAAAGAAGAATAAGGTGAAGGAAGCAGCCCTGAGCTGTTAAATATAACACATGTGCTAGTATATCTATATTCACAAAAGTATATTATTATATATCACAAATGTAACAAAATATGAAAATCATTAATATATTTCCATCTATGGCAATATATAAGCTATTCACATATGTTGATAGTTGCCTGATAGTTATACTAATTTATTGTTGTTGTTGTTATGTGCTGTCTAGTCGACTACGACTCATAGCTGCCCTACACACAATAGCTCTGAACCCTGCTGTATCCTGAGCCGACCTCACTGTCTCTGACACACTAACCCCCATTACCCTAGTTACTGTGTCAGCCCATCTCATCCAGGGCCTTCATTTCCTACACTGTCCCTTGACCTTTCCAAGCCTGATATTTTTCTCCAAAGACTAGTCCTTCCTGGCTACATGACTAAAATATGTGAGATGGAGTCTCAAAATTCTTGCCTCCCAGGAGCAGCTTGGTTTCACCCTCTCCAGGACAGATGGGTTAGTTCTCTTGGCAGTCCATGGTATGATCAATACTCTTTTCCAGCACCGCAGCCCAAATGAATCAATTCTTCTGTCATCCTTGGTCATGGTCCAGCTCTCTGATGCTTAACAAGTAATTGCGAAGACCTGGATCAGGTGCACCTTAGTCTCTAGACTGACATTATTGCTCTTTTAGCACTCACTCTGGAGAGGTCCCTGACAACACATTTACCTAATGCAATTAGTCTTTTGATTTCCTGACTGCTGGTCCCAGGAGTGTTGTTTGTTGAACCAAGCAAGATGAAATTGCTAACAATATATTCTCCATCTATCAGGATGCTTCGAATTGGCTGTGTGGTGAGAATCTTTGTTTTTTTGATGTTGAGATTCAGTTTTGTTTTTTGGTTTTTTTTAAATTTTATTTTATTATTTTTTTTGTGTGTGTGTGTACCATCAAATCATATCTGACTGGTACAGGAGGAGATTGTTCCTCCTTCTCCAGCAGGGCATCTGGTGGATTTGAACTGTGTACCTCTGGGATTGTAGTACACCTTCTTGCCACTAGGCTACCAGAGCTCACCGAGATTCTGTTTTTAAAAACTACTTGTCTCGTTAATGAATAACTATATTAGTTATTACAAACCATACTACGGTACTCTGGTGGCCTAGGGATAAGAAGCTGCACTCTCAACCCAAAGATGTGGGATTGAATCCCTGAGCTGCTCAGCAGGAGAAACACAGTTCGTCTCCTCCTGTGCAATTTTTTTTTCCATTTTTTTTTCTCCTGTGCAATTTACAGTCCCTAAAACACACCAGAGGCTTAGCTAGGAATTGGTTCCAACTTGATGGTACATAACTACATTAGTTAATACGTACTGACTTATACTAATTTTTATTGAATTTAGATTGAGCTGAGGAAAACTTACTCTGGCTCTTACTCTAGAAAGATGTCAGTATTTTGCATTTTAGAAGAGTCTAGTAATACAACTTCTTGTCAGGTCCCTGCCCTTTTCTTCCTTTAGTCTCCATAACTCTCTGTAATCACAGTACCACTCTGACACGAGTGTTGTTGTTGTTAGGTGCTGTTGACTTGCGTATGACTCATAGTGCATCTATGAACAGCAGACCTGAACCCTGTCCTATCCTGTGCCATCCTCACAATCTCTGATGTACGTGAGCCCATTGCCGCTGTCACTGTGTCAATCCATCTGGTTGAGAGTCCTCCTCTTCTTCACCATCTCTCCACCTTTCCAAGCCTGACGTCATTTTCCAAGGAATAACCTGTCCTAGCAACATACCCAAAGGATGTGAGATGAAGCTTTATCACCTTTGCCTTCAAGGGGCACTCTGGCTGCACTTTCTCCAAGGCACACCTGGTTGTTCTTTTTGCAGCCCATGGGACATTCCATTCTCCAACACTATAGTTCAAAAGTATCAGTTCTTCTGTCATCCTTATTCATTGTCTAGCTCTGAGATGCACAGCTGGTGACTGAAAAGACCATGGCCTAAATGAAACTGACATCATTGCTCCTCAATAACTTGGAGAGGTCCCTGACTACAGACTTTCCCAGCGCACTACGTCTCCTGATCTCCTGCCTGCTGATGCCAAGTGCATTGGATGTGGATCTAGGTAAGAGGACACACAGGAGGTTACCATAAATTACAATCAACTCAACACTGACACATTTTTTATTCTCTGCCCACTTAGAATTTCCCTTACGCTACTCTTTGGTGTGGGTTCTTTTAAGTAGAATTTCTGTTACTGCCCACCAACCCCATGCCCCACCTGTTTCCTGAGCTGGGTTTGGATGGGTTTCTGTCCCAGGAACAGCTGACCCTGCAGCGCTGTGGACTGACTGCTGGCGCAGAAGTACACGGCTGAGTCCTCCAGCTCCGTGGGCTCGATCTCCATGCTACACGGTGAGTTCTTGGGACACTGAGCTGAAAACCGCTCACTGGGCATTTCTGATTTATCGATAATATCTTGGTTCTGAAAATAAATAAAAAATTTGAGCTCTTCTCCCAGCTTCTGGCGATACCAGTAAACATAACTGTGTCCTTTGATGGGGACACACTCCATCCTTGCTTTCTGCTTTGTCCCTCTGACCAGCTGTCCTGGAGACTGGGTGACCTCGGTGTCCACAGAGCCTGTGGAGGAAGGAGACAGAAGCTGGAGAAAAGCGCAGGAGGAGCTGGTGGTGCAGCCCCAGGAGGAAGTCCTAACACTGGAGTCCCACAGGGTCACCACTGACCTGCTCCCAGGACACACAGGGCCGCCAGGCAGAGGAGTGTGGGTCCCATGGCTGGGCAGGGGGTGGACTCTTCTCTGAGGCTTCTCATACCCATCAGTACCCTCCCGGTGATGTGGCAACCTTCCTCAGGCTTCCCAGCTGCTGTAGGCGTGAGGGGAGGTGGGAGGAGCTATATTTGATATTTTAGCAGGTGGAACAACCGTGAGTTTTAGCCCTTTTAAAACCTTTCTTTACCGACTCTGTCCAATATTGTGCAGACACTCTTATTTGTTTTTTAGACCCATGCTCCTACCTCTTCCCCTTGGTCTTCTCTCTTCCATCTCCACGTAATTTATCAAATGTCTTTATGTAGGGGAGCTCTGATGGCCTAGTGGCAAGAAACTGCACTGCAATCCCAGAGATATGCAGTTCAAATCCACCAGATGCTCTGCGGAGAAGGAGGGGCAATCTCCTCCTATACCAGTCAGATCCAATTTGACGGTACACACACACACACACACACACACACACACACACACACTCTAAAATTTTTTTAAAAAGTCTTCATGTATGTCAGTCAAGCTTTTATCAGTCTGCTATGTACATTTGTCATCAGAGACTCTGTTGGTATCAAAAGTTAGGTGTTTTGTTGCCAACTAATGGCTGAGTGGTACAAATCCATCCCCCCTTCCACGGGAGAAATCTGATGGAGGGTTGCCAACATCAGAATTGACGCTGCAGCCCTAGTTAAAGTTAGCAGCTGGTAGCTACTTTGAATGTACCAATTGATACTGACATGTAGTTTTCTCAATTACTTGTTATGCTTCAGAGAGTTGGATAATGACTAAGGATGACAGAAGAAGAATAGATGTCTTCAAGTTGTGGTGCTGGAGAAGGGTCTTGAACATGCCATGGACTGCCAAGAAACAAATAGGTCTGTCTTGGAGAGGGTGGAAATCAAGTCTCTCCTAGGAGGCTAGGATTTTGAAGATCTGCCTCACTTGCTCTGGACACATGGCCAGGAGAGTTGGTCCTTGGAAAAGGACAACATGCTCAGAAAGGTGGATGGACAGCGAAGGAGAGGGAGACCCCAGATGAGATGGATTGATACAGTATCTGGGGCGATGGGGGTTGGTGTGCTGAAGTTAGTGAGACTGGCTCAGGACAGGGAAGGGTTCAGAGCTGTTGTACATAAGGTCGCTATACATCACAGGGGATTCAATGGAACATAACAACAGTAACATACTATGACAGGTTTGGAAGCAGGAGTGGCATCCACTTCCTAAATAGAGTTGCCTCTGGAAGCTCTATGAACTTTGATAAATGTCTATAGTTGTAGCGGGGCTTCAGGCCTTTTGTTCACAGGGTCGCTATGAATCGTGCTCAACTTGAAGGCAATCAACAACAACATTCAAAGTCGTACTTATGTTAAATATGATATGCATATACAGAAAGAATGGCATGATTCCCTATGTGTAGGCTAATCAGCATATAAGAAGAGTGTTTGTTAAGACAACTTGTTACTATGGGGTTTATTAGGGAAGTTGACAGATTACAATTCAGACTGGAAAGGATACACTTCTTCAATGAGGAAAACTCCCGAGGCATGCTTACAGGTTCTCTGACCTTCAGCCTCAGCGTATCAGAGCAGTGCTACGAAGCTACGAGAGAGATTCTTGCTTGACATTTTAAGTCCTGGATCACTTTTTAGAGTCCATGGCTTGGATCAGGCACACCTACTTCTTTAAAGGGGCATCCTTGCTCATTTGCACTTTAAAGAGGTCCTTGAAAAAGATTTGCTTAATGCAACATGCCATTTTATGTCGTGTCTGCTGCATTTTTGATGCTAACTATCAATCCAAGTAAAATGAAATCTGTGACAACGTCAATCTTGAGACCGTCTTGTGATGTTGCTGACTGCACCCATCCCACAATAACAAACCAGGTTGTCAAAACCCGATGTTTAGATTTATCAGTCACTTGTTGTTCACTTATACTTAATTTCAGCATTTAGAAAAGAATTTTGTTTTCATTTTAGCATTTATCTAAGAATCTTCAATTTTGTTTTAGCAATTATATAAAGCTAGGGAAAAATGTATAATTTTGTATATGTTTGCATTCCCCTAAGTTATCCTGTTCATGCACTTTAGAATATTTTCTTATTGGCTATTCTATGTGTGATTCTAAATCACTTCGGTGTATTGGATTGTCAGCACTGATCACCAGTGTTCTCTTCCGGCCCACCGAAAACATACTGTCCAATCTTACTTCAGAGCTTATGTTCTCTGCAGGATTTGAAGCTACAAATAGCATTGCACTCTGTACTTGTCTCCACATCTATGGACAAAAGTTTTCTTTTACCTGAAGACTAAATCTTAAGGTTGGTATAAAAATTTGCATAATAATAAAAAAGATACCTGAGTTGATTAAACCAATTAATAGTCCAACCAGTAGTGTATGAGAGTTTGCAAGGTTCTATACGTTTATGACTAATATTAACATTTGATTATTTTCCGTTTTGGTAGTTTTGCTGTTAGGTGCTATTGAGTTGAGCATGACTAATAGCAACCCTAGCACACCATCAGGTCTGAACCCTGCTCTTTCCCGAGCGATCATTACACATCCTGACACACTGCAGCAGTCACTGTGTCAATCCACATGGTCGAGGGTCTTCCTCTCCTTCCCCCACCCTCCACCCTTCCCAGCATCATGTCCTTCTCCAAGGAACAGCCCCTCCCAGCAACGTGTGCAAAGAATGTGAGGTGAAGCCTCATCATCCTTGCCTCTAAAGAACGGCCTGGCTACACCCTCTCCAAGACATATTTATTTGTTCTTTTGGCCGTCCGTGGGATGCTCAATGCTCTACAACTCAAAGGCATCAATTCTTCTACCTTAGTCATTGCCTAGCTCTGAGATGTACATCAAGTAACTGGAAAGACTACGGCCTGAATCAGACGCAACTTAGTCTTCAAACTGTTTGAAGTGGTCCCTAACTGCGGACTTTCCCAATGCAATATATCTCCTGATTTCCTAACTGCTGGTACCAAGGGTATTAATTGTGCATCCAAGTAAGATGACGTTGTTGACAGAGTCAATGTTGCCTATTGGTCCAGTGGTAAGAATCTTTGTTTTCTTGACATTGAGATACAATCCATCAAACTTTGGCAGTTTCTAAGTGTAAAATTGTGTCTTACATTAACTTCTGATTATGAAGGAGATTGAACATATTCTTATGCTTATAGGTGGCCAGTGTTTTCAGTAATCACATTTTGTGTATATTTCCTTCTGGCTTAAAGAGCTTATTTTTAGTATTTCTTCCTATGTTCCACATGCCAAACATTTCTCAGCCATATCTGTGACTTGTGTTAGCATTCTCTTTACGCTGAGCTTGATTTTTAAAAATGCAGTAGAATTAGTCTTATTTAGATGTACATAGAACAGTCTATAAAGCATCCTTCTTAGCTCATGTTCTTAAAGATACATTATTTCCTAAAACTTTGAGTGTTTTAAAATGTATAGCAAGTGATTATATTATTATTAGTTGTTGTTGTTGTTGACTGCCTTCGAGTCGAGCACGACTCATAGCCACCTGATGAACAAAAGGCCTGAAGCCCCTCTAGAACTATCAACATTTATCAAAGTTCAGAGTTTCCAGAAGCAAGCTCTTTAGAAAGCGGATTCCACCCCTGTTTCCAAAATTATTATTATGTTATAATTAAAATTATTATTATATAATTATATAATCACTTGATCGTGCTAATGCGAAACCTATACTTGGACCAAGAAGCAGTTGTCAGAACAGAGCAGGGAAACACTGCATGGTTCAAAATTGGGAAGGGTGTGCGCCATGGATGTGTCCTATCTCCATACCTTTTCAACCTGTATGCAGAACAGATTATCGGGGAGGCTGGGCTCTATGAGGGAAAATGCTGCATTAGGATTGGTGGAAGATTTATCAACAATCTGCGTTATGCAGATGACACAACCGTGCTTACTGAAACTGAGGAGGACCTGAAGCTCTTGCTGCAGAGGGTCAAGGACTGCAGCCTTCAATATGGATTGAGGCTCAATGTCAGGAAGACAAAGATTCTCACCACTGGACCAATTGGCAGCATCAGGATGGATGATGAAGAGATTGAGATTGTTCACAGCTTTAGTTTGCTTGGCTCCACAGTCAACACTCTCGGTACCAGTAGCCAGGAAATTAAAAGACGTTTTGCGATGGGAAAGTCTGCTGTTAGGGACCTCTCCAAAGTACTGAAGAGCAATGGTGTCTCTCTGGAGACTAAGGTGCATCTGATACAGGCTATAGTCTTTGTAATCACTTGTTATGCATCAGAGAGTTGGACAATGACCAAGGAGGATAGAAGGACAATTGATGCCTTTGAGCTGTGGTGCTGGAGAAGAGTATTGAGAGTACCATGGACTTCCAAGAAAGCAAATAGTTCTGTCTTGGAGAGGGTGAAACAAAGTTTCTCCTTGGAGGCTAGGATTTAGAAGTTCCATATCATACACTTTGTGCATATGGGCAGGAGTGACCAGTCCTTGGAAAAGGACATCTTGTTTGGAAGGGTGGAAGGACAGCACAGGAGAAGACGACCCCAGATGAGATGGATTGAGACAGTAACTAGAGCAATGGGGGATAGGTGTGTCTGAGTCAGTGAGATCGGATCAAGACAGGGCAGGCTTCAGAGCTGCTGTGCATAGGGTTGCTATGGGTCACACGCAACTTGACGACACTTAACAACAACAACAACTGGTTAGATAGAGTCTAGTGAAACCTCGACACTATGACCATCTGTCACTCTTCAAGCTGGAACTGAATCCACCCAAACAGTATGTAAGATGAAAACCACCACCAGACAGGTACACTGTTAGTAGGACAATCAACGGTGTGAGGTCAAGAGGGCAACATTTGCCTAAACGCAAAGTCCCAGGGACTGCGAGGGTGGACAGGCTTATTCCGTTTGCTACATAGCAATTTACCGCAGTAGTCTCTTTACAGTTAAATGTGTCCTGATAAAGCATCCTCCTAATAAACATGCACTGTAGGATGGAAATCTGAGATTCCGGCTCATGAGTTTGAATTCAGTGACTTTGAATCTTATCTCGGACAGCACAAAACACAGAAGAGATAGCACTGTGTGCTGTTAGCAACACTATTGAGCTGCTGGGGTGACATGGATGGTTTTGGTGTCAAGGTCTTTGAGCAAATTGTCTAGAACCTCTTAAGAGTCTCAGGATCTAACTGAGTAAGAGCTAGGGTCCTTGTGAAAGAAACCAGTGGGAACCCCTTGTATCCGAAGGCCCAGCTTTCCCGATAGAAGTGCGTAGGATGACACATTGGAAACCTGTAAATTCACATAAAAAAAAAAAAAAAAGAAGGAAATGAAGAAGGAAGCCCGGTCTATTACCTGCCTGATAGTCCACAAGCTGGGAGACAGAGGCCACGCTTCCCTTCCTCTTCACTGGGAGACCATGAGATCAGCTCTTTACACATTTCACTGCTCACCTAGAGTTGTTGGTGTGGGTTTTTTTAAAAAAGCATATTTTTATTGGCTTGTTTTTGTTATGTATTGTAGAGTCACCTATGCCTCATAGCGACCTTATGCACACCAGCTCAGAACCCTTCTTTATCCTGAGCCAAACTCATTGACTCTGAGACACCTACACCATTGTCTCAGTTGCTGTGTCAACCCATCTCATCCAGGGTCTTCCCCTCCTGCGCTGTCCCTCCACTCTTCCAAGCATGATGTTCTTCTCCAATGACTGGTCTCTCCTGGCAACATGCCCAAAGTATGTGAGATAGAGTCTCAAAATGTTTGCCTCTAAGGAACAACTTGATTTCACCCTCTAGAGTTGTTGTT